GCAAAAAACTAGGGTCCTAAAAATGTGGTCCTAAAAATGCGGTCCTGAGAGTGCAGCTACTCCAGTTGTGCAGGATCATACTATTGCCAACATCAGGAGCTTCACTCATGACTGAGCTCTGACTCGAGTTCTGTCCTGTGGACTAAAGCTCTTCATGAGATGCTGTTGTCATTTGAAGTCACCATGATGGAGGTCAGCGTCTGCTTTAGTTGGGCTCTCTTATTTTGGTTGCTATAATTAGTAGTGTTAATCACACTAATCATATAGTATGAAAAGCCAAAAAAAAAAAAGATTAAGAATAAGGCTGATGAGATTAAATCATGTCACAGCTGCCCTCACCTGCTCGTGTCTTTGTTAATAATTATGTGTGAGAAATTATTAAAATACATAAATGACACCACTGAAGCTCCAGCAGTCAATGACTGTTTATCAGGTCTCAATACAGCATTCACAGTGAAGGAGGATCATTTATGGAAGCACTCAAAAACACACAGACATCAACAATGGTGACAAACAAATTCAAATAAAAATCAACCCAGAATAACACAAAACACTCTACTGAAACACTGGGGCATTTGTCCCCAAAGAACAAGAGAAAATAAAGGCAAAGAAAGAAATTGTAAGAACTTTAAGCTGCATAATTTATTCATGCTGCAGTGCATGCTGGGAGTTTTGTACTATGCTGGCACCCAGCATGCATTGCAGCATGAAATGAATTTTGCTGCTTTTTCTTTTAGAAACCATGGTTGAGGTTCATATCCTGATTCTTGATGTCCGTGTGTCTGAAATAGGAAACCTGTTAAAAGCAGAGTATGGAGTGACGTGCCCTTATGGTTAAAATCTGAAGTTGAAATCAATCGTGAGATCTTGGATAAAGATGAGAATGGGAGGAATCAGGTACACTTAAGCAAAATGTGTATAAGCGTGTAGCTGGAGAGTTTTATGGGAGCACACAAATGTATACTGAGAGATCTAAACACCCAGATTAGGGGGTGACAGGAATAAGAGTGTGTGTTCCTGATTTAAAAAATATATATTTTTTTTAATTAAAAAAAAAGAACAACATCAGAACTGTCGATGTATTCTGTTGAAATGGTTGCTATCATTGTGGGACTTATGTGGACAGAGGGAGTGACACCAGACAGAGGTGATTTGCTCAGACTCTGCTTCAGTATTAAAATCATTAGACAGCAGTCAGTCATCCAGAGAAGATTTAATGAATGAAGTATTTACATTATCATGGAGAACCCAAAGGGAAAGGAATTCTAGTTTGGTTTTGTTGGATTCCAGCACATATAGGGGGTGGGGGGAAATAAAATAAGTGATGAATTAGCTAAAAATGCAAAGAAAAGAAAAGAAAAAGACATTAATGTTCCATTAAGTACAGGAGAAATTAAAAGTATTATTGAGAAAAATGTGACAACACATTGGCAAACAGTATGGAATACAGATTTGAAGGCAAGAGATCTATATAAAATCAAAAGAATGTGGACACTAAAATTGTTAATTACGGAAAGAAGAGGAAGGAAGAGGGGATAATTACCAGACTGAGACGGGGCATACCGGACTGAATGATTCACTGTTTTTAATTGGTGTACATGAGAATGGATTATGTGAATCTTGTGATGTAAAAGAAACAATCCAGCATGATATATATAAATGTTTAAAATATGGAGAAGAAAGAAAGGAACAGATTGAATATCTTAAGGAGAAAGGAAAGGAAGATAAAGATAGAAAATACCTTCTGGGGTATGAGTTTAATTGTAACTGTTTGCTGTTACTTCCTGTATTATGTATATAAGTTTATGTTTTCTAAGATATTTTTTTGTTGTTGTTGAGAAAATAAGCTACATGTATTATTTGTGAATTTATTTGGTTTGGGACTTTCATTTTGAAATCTCTTTGGTTGTATGAAATGGCTGACTGCCCATGAGGTTATCACTTTATACACTTCAGAAATTATTCAACTAGTTCCATACTCCATTCCAGTCAGTGGCGGTAATGCACCTATAAGTCTGGTTGCCAACCGCCAGTAAAACCCAAAGAAGAAGAAGAAGAAGGTTATCACTTCCTGTTAGCAAGCGATTGGCAAACATGAATTGTTTGCATGTGTTCTTCAATGGATGTATTGACTTCAGCAAGGACTTCAAGTGATTTAAGGAGCATTCAGGACGATTTCTTTCATATAGCATGCAGCCAATGAGGTATTTTGCTTTATATTTGTATGTTGTGTTTGAAGTTTCTGAAGTTTGTTTGTCTATATATGTTTTGATTTGTAGTGAGTACATTTGTTTTCTATTCATT